CTGCCAGACACTCTGGAACCCTAACCTTTGGAGCATTTGGTAGTTTCTCCTTTTCATCTGCTACGCTTTAGTCACTACTTGAAAAATACTAGTGCCTCCTTGTATGTACTATAATTTTCTGGAATGTTTTATCTGAATACCTGGCATAAGGCTTAGAAGATTTTGATTATGCAAATTCTGTATTCACTCAGTGAAAGCAAAATGCATAGTTTTTGATGCAGCTGATTATCCTTTAGATGCTATTTCCTGTATTCTCTCTCATTTGGAAAGAAAATTTAAAATAGCACCCTGAATGAATAAAAACTCAGTATAGTGCTTTCTGAACCTGAACAGAATGAGTACCTGTCACAAATATACAAAACCGAAATAATATTACCTTATGCCAATACAGCTTCACCAAATCTTAATACAGAACCACATTCATAATTCACAAATAATCAAAGTACTGCCTCTCTTTACTTGGGACAATTTAACAGGCCACACCAATCTATATCTTCAGGTAAGATGCACAGTACCTTTTATTCACTTAGTCAATCGTTAAGCAAGTATTGATTAAGCATCTGTAAGGTGCCTGGTACAGTACTGGAGATGTACCAGTGACGAAAAGAGACATGGCTGCTACCCTCATGAAACTTAAATTCTATTGAGAACCTTTCATCCAAACACCATACAATTTTTAAAAATATTTGTCACATATATGAAATACACTGGATGAAATCAATTTATATTCTTAGAATATTTACATAGGCCTTTTTTTTTTTTAAGATTTTTATTTATTTATTTTTTCCCCCCAAAGCCCCAGTAGATAGTTGTATGCTCTAGTTGCACATCCTTCTAGTTGCTGTATGTGGGACGCGGCCTCAGCATGGCCAGAGAAGCGGTGCGTCGGTGCGCACCCGGGATCCGAAGCCGGGCTGCCAGCAGCGGAGCACACGCACTTAACCGCTAAGCCACGGAGCCAGCCCTATATAGGCCTTATATAAAATATTATGTGCACACTATATTTGTCCTATCACAATTTAGGCATTTCAAACATGTCTTGCATCTTCTCTACATTGTTCCCCTAGTAAACACATTAACATGTGTCTAATACTTCAAAATTAACCACTAGCCGATACATGGTACGGGAGTACACCTGGTGACAACTGTCCACAACAGAAGGGAAATACTGAATTTTGAAAATATCCTGGCTTATACACTTTAAAATCTTAAAGATATACCATATTCCCATTAAAATACACTTTCAAGCTATATATTTAACGACAAAAGAAAAAAGTCATGCCGTAAAAACAGGACCTAAAGCATATAATCCAGGCCATCAACCTCTAAGTATAATGAGAGCTTAGTCCAGCTATTCCAGGTGCTGAGTACATGTCCCAAGCCACCACCTGCTATGTTACAGCTTGTCCAGCAGGTGAAGGACACCACTAACACTACACGGACAACCAGAACCCCCAAGTCATTTGAGAGGGAACGTTGAAGGGATTTTTCTCAACAGACATGAAGCCTAGACACAGAAAGCCCATCTCAGAGGATTTCAGTGTGTCTCTTGAACAGCCAGTTTAAACGGTAGGAAAGGAATGACAGGTTTTGTTACGTAGTAACAATAAAATTTGTTTGAGTACATTTTTTGTTTTGACAACACTACCTAGATTTTGGGATAGGAGGGAAGAAAGCAGCAAACAGCAGAATCCCTAAAAACACTAAAAATCAACATCAAATGAATGAGGTTCACTCATGCAGAAGTAACCCACCCTGAGATGGTTTATGAATGTGTTGTGTAGGTATCAAAAGCCGTAAAAATGTGTTTTTACTCAACAAGTGTACTTCTAATAGTTTATCCTAAGGAAATAATCAGAGAACTACACATGTACACTTAAGGATGTCCAGTTACTTTAATGGCAAAAAATCAGCAATGAGAGATCAGAAAGAAATTGTGTAATCAGAATAAGCTAGGCAGCCCTGCCGGAAAGTACTCTAACATCCTCACTGAACTCCAGTCACTGGCAACTGCCTTTGCCTCTTCATTGTAACCACTGAACAGTAAGGATCACCTAAGGATATACTCAAGAGAGTTCACCACCATGCTGCCATTAAAACTCAACTTATTACTAAGAAGAAAGCAATTTAAAGAGTATGAGCCTATTTTAAAATTAACTATGAAATTACCTTTGGTACAATACATACACGCATAGCACCTTTTTTTTTTTTTTGAGGAAGATCGGCCCTGTGCTAACATCTGTTGCCAATCTTCCTCTTTTTCTTTTTTCTCCCCAAAGCCCCAGTACATAGTTGTGTATTATAGCTGTAGAGTTGTAGCTCTTCTGTGTGGCATGCCGCCTCAGCATGACTTGATGAGCGGTGAGTAGGTCCACACCCAGGATTCGAACCTGGGAACCCTGGGCCGCCGAAAGGGAACTTGCGAACTTAACGGCTATGCCACCAGGCTTGCCCCAGAACCTTTTTCTAAAGTGCTTATTTCTCTCGGTGTTGGTTTGTGGGTAGTTTTTCCTCTAGTCCTCGTCTTTCTTCAAGAGTAACACTGTTTTAAAAACAAGACAACTATTACAGATTAATACAGGAGTATTTTTGCCTTTGCTAAAAATCCAAGAAACTGTCTTTTTCTTTTTTTTTTTTTGTGAGGAAGATCAGCCCTGAGCTAACATCTGCCAATCCTCCTCTTTTTGCTGAGGAAGACTGGCCCTGGGCTAACATCTGTGCCCACCTAGCTCCACTTTATATGGGACGCTGCCACAGCATGGGCTGACAAGCGGTGCGTCGGTGCACGCCTGGGATCCGAACCCGGGCCGCCAGCAGCGGAGCGTGCGCACTTAACCGCTATGCCACGGGGCTGGCCCCTCTTTTTTTTTAAAAAAAAAAAAAGAAAAATTTATGGCCGCCCCGATATTTTTATCAGGCCTAACAGGCTTATGAATATAATAATCACTATCATTAATTAGATCTGGCATTAAACTTGTTTGATATTATAGTTTCCAATGGCAATTCAATAAACAGGAGAAATGTTACAGATTTTAAAAAAGGGGGCTCTGACTTCTTTTCAAAGGAAGTGAATTTAGTTCTTTGGAAAGATGCCAGCTTGACAACTATGGAAACTAGTTACTTAGAGCAAAGCAACAACAACCCGACCAGGTGGGACCACTGGATTGACCAATTTTAACTACATGATATGCCCTTTCAATACTCAGCTCCTTGAATGTTCTTCCCTAAAAGAAATGGAAGTAATATATTTTAGGCTAGTGAGAATGAATCAAAATCCAATTAGTTACTCTGAAAGCATCCTTTTCCAAGATTTATTTTCTTTCTTGAATATCTGCGAGTAATCCTTAACTGCTGCTAATGAAGGGAGGCAAAGCTGTTAAGTACAACGGCCTCAGGCACTACCCTAATAAACTCCCTACTTTTTAATCAGTCCAGGCTAGCCAGGCCTTCTACTGCAGTCTCCTCCATCACAAGGTAAGAGGCTGGTGCTCTGGAAGGAGAATCAGCAGCCAGAGGGCACTGTGAAGGGCGCACAGGGAGATTCATCAAGACAGGGCAATCCATTACGTAGCAAGCCTCACAGAGGCTGCTCCAGACCCCATGTAACTCTCCCAGTTTGGAATACGAAGAATTTTTCAAAAGACTACCTTACTAAAAACAATAAATCAAAATCACTGAGTATAAAATCATTTAAAATTATTCTTTTTGGCTTGAGAAATGACTTTAATAATGTGGCCAACTTGTTTAAAATTCCCCAGAATGACAAATTAATATACTGTCTTAATTAGGAATGCTCCCCCCTTGTGTTACTCTCAGGAAATATCACCAGGGAGATGAAGGGAAGAGATAAATGAGAAATTCGTCCTGTCTATGAAGAACAACCAAATATTTTTGGTCAGAGAAACTGTAACTCTGTGATCACCTACAGTAAGGAGTACAAAGAGCTCAGAAACACTTTCATCATAGTTATTTTCACAGATAAGTTCTCAACCATTACTCGTTTGTAATAAGGAATGTATCTGGGTAGAAGTCCAAGCTGCAACTAAAATACTCAAGTCAAGACGATAATCCAAAATAAATTGTTTCACGCAGAACGTCCTACACCTAAAAATTGCTGTGCCAGGCCTGTGAGGTCCTCCAGTGAGACTCCAAACATCTGGAAGACTCCAAAAGGACCCAAAGCGACCGGCTGTATTAAAAGAAAAAAAAATACTAATAGTCAAAAACATTTTAACTTCTATTTTCTGAACAACAACAAATCAGCTCCCTTCCTAACCCCGCTACGGCCCAACCTTCCTAAAAGAGCGTTGCCTCCGCTGAAGAAATTAGGTACATGATAGTCAAACTAATGCAGCTCTCAAAACGGGGCACACCTTAAAATTATGTTGTCTCTGACGCTGGACGCGTCCCCCAACAGATGAGAAGCACTTCAACACATCTTCCTGACCTCACTTTCTCCCGAGGTCCCCCATTAGCCCTCCCACAGGTTGCTGGCCAGCATGAGGGCTCGCCAGCACTTTCCAGGCCCCTGCTGACGTCCCACAGCTGCAGCCGTCTGGACTCTCTGAACGCGTCCCTGCACTACCCCTGAGGGGCTCTCCGGCCAACCCGAGCATCAGCAAGACGGCCCAGGGCTTTGAAACGCCGGGCTTTCGGGAAAAGGCCCTGGACGCGAAACCAGGCAGAGAGACATCAAGTGCAGCGCGGCCCGGGCGACCGCCCCCGACCGACACTCGTCACACCAGCCACGAACTGTTTAAAAGGGAAATAAAGCTAGAGACGCCGCGGGGAGGGGGAGGGGCGTGGGAGCGCGGCACCGGCAGGGTAAAACCACCCTTCGGGGATGCCGCCGGGAGGGGGCGACAGGCCCGCGTCCCCCGGGCCTCCCCACCGCCGGGACTTCCTCCTCCGGGAGCCGGCGCTTCGGCCCAGGGAGGGCCCGCAACAGGCCAGCACCGAGGGCCGCGGGCGGGGGCGCAGGGGCGCGCCGGGACGCTCACCCGCCGGCGAAAAGGTGAAGCAGCGTGTTCTCCTTCTGCTGAGTGCCCGTCGCCATGGCCGCGCCGGCTCCGAGGCCCGCCGCCGCCGGGTGCCGCGGGCGCGAGGCGGCTCGAGGGATGCGCGACGTG